TTGTGGAAAAACTTCTTGAGGCTTGTGACTTGTCTCTGTCCACTAATGTCAAGGGTTAAAAGCTAACCGAGACAGATGATATTCGATAAAAGTATATAGATGTGTTGGTCATTCAATTTTGATATGTGATTCTATTGTTTCCATATGTACACAAGAAACATGAAAAKCATACATCTTGTGACTTATGTTGGTTTAGTTGCTAATTTTGAAGTKCTGTCTTTGCTCTCAGATTTATATTGGGCTTCTTGTTCGGTGGAATCCCTTGGTACCTCGGTGCTTTTATAATTATGTGCACATCTGTTGATAACCGCGAGAAGGCAGGCTACGTTGCCTGTGCAATCGCAGTGAGTTTCTCTCCCTGTCTATTTCATCACACCGCTAATCTCAGTACAGAAATTGGATTAACCATTGTCTCTCTCTCATACATTCTATTTTGCTGTCTGAACAGTCCGTTATCTATTTGATTGCGTTCACGCTCGGGATGACTGGAAATGTTAATATATGGTGAAACTCCCCTTCAACGTCGAACAGATATACACGTACATGTAGATATATCAAATATCATTGTACCAGTTATTGAAGATTTTAGTGATTTACTCAAGGGAAAGATTTCTAATATTGTGTTGAATAATTTTATAAAAAATATATATATGTTGTTGAATCGTTGATCCCCTTGGTGGTATCTTCATGTTATTTTGTAATCTGCTTTGATTACCCTATAAAGTTCCCATGAAGCTGAATTCATTTAGGGGATTATTGGTAGATGGATTTTTAAAGATTTTTTGTTATTGGTTTATGGATTATGACATTTTTAAAGAAATTATTTATTATTGGTTTATGGATTCTTAAATTCTAAATAAAATCTCTTGTTATTGAAAAAATCTAGTTACCATTGATTCTCTAATTCTATTAAAATCTCATGTTATTAGGACATGGTTTCTACACATTTTTACTCATAGAATTCAACTTTCAAAATACCATGAGTATCCATGAGATCCTTCAAATCCATATATCTAAAAAACAACACTCACAAACACAAATACACACGTGAGCTATCATAAACATAAAACTTCAAATTCAAAGAACACCGCAAACACGTGAGTTCATTGAAAAGACAGATGAAATCAAAATACTTGCAGACAGACTTTGTGCTTGTCATTAAACAACACCATAGTAAAATCCAGATTTTGCAAGAGTTAGAGACATAAACAAATCATCAAATAAAAAAAATGCAAATCCCATTAAAAAGAATATTTAAAACATGCAAAACTAGATGATATCATGTTTTTTTCTATTTAACTAATAACTCATTATTCTTTTTAAAACAAAAAAGAGCTAAAATCTCACTAATATTCATCATCATTGGTTACTTTTTTTTTTTCTCAGTTTCTCTTTACTCGATGCTATCGAATTCCTCTATTTAACCAAGAACTCATTATTCTAAAAAAAAAAGAAAAGTTAAAACATGCCTAAAATGAATTCTAGAATATTAGAAGACATATTATTTGAATAATTTATATAAAAATATAAAAAATACATATTACCTTATATAGAAAAAAAAATTAATACAAATCTATATCAAATCAATGACAATCCATAAAAATATTTTGTAAGAACCAATAATAATCCATAAGAATTTCTAAAATCTCCTAGATTTCTAAAATCCATAAACTCTACACAATCTATGAATGAATAAGGGCCTCTTAAAGTCTTTTGGAATTTGTAAAAATAAAATAAATTTTACAAAATATTTTTACAGTATCTCTATGACTATATCTAACTTTATAACTTGCATAATGGAATAACAAAATCATAAGATAAAAGTAGTTTTTGGAAAAAGTTGTAGATTTTCAAAGTAAAAAATTCAGTAAAATTCTATAGTTATTAAGCCCAATGGGCTTTATGGATTTGGACTCAATCTGTACGAAAGTTTGAGATTAGGGTTTTTAATTCTTCCATCGCTTTAACTAGGTCATATATATAAAGCTGCACGAAGAGTGGCTTTGTCTTTTTGGAGAGGAATCGATCATCGGCGGAGAGTAGTCTTCCACGGCGTAGCTCTCTCCACTCGACGGCGGCGAAAATGGTTGCTTTCAGGGTAAATGCTCTTCAAATCTGGACCAGAGTTCTTGCATCTATGCTTATAATGTAACTCTTTGATTCTGGATTCCGGCGAATCTGATCGGAAATTTGTTCTTTTGTGTGATGTGTTTGTTATTGCAGTTTCACCAGTACCAGGTTGTCGGMAGAGCTCTTCCGACAGAGAAGGAATTGCAGCCGAAGATTTACAGGATGAAGCTCTGGGCAACGAACGAGGTTCGTGCAAAGTCCAAGTTCTGGTTAGTAATTTTTCGAATTCTGTKTTCTTTGAATTGCAAGGAGARTCAAGGGGTTAGATTCGTTATTTGAAGAAAGTTTTTTTTTTTKKTKWTTTTGTCTGTGATTAGGTACTTCTTGAGGAAGTTGAAGAAGGTTAAGAAGAGCAATGGACAGATGCTTGCTATCAACGAGGTACTTCATTTCTCTTTAGATATTGATTTTTGTGTCTCCGCGATCTGATGTCMGTGWAATGTCTTCACAGTTTGGTMGACTGTAAATTKTTTATAGGCTCACAGAAACAYAGTAGAACGTTCTTGTTGTTAATGCTTGAGTTTGATTTCTCTATTTTCTGGCTAGTGTTTATTAGGTTGTCATGTTTGGTGACTGATCCTTGAGCTTATATGTTCATCTTACCAGTTTCTTGGAACTTGATCCATTATAGTCCAACTACACACTTGATAATGTTGTGGTTTAAGTAAAAGCGTATAAGTATATGCTTRGTTTGATCCTGATTAAGTGTTTAATCAAATCATATCCTCTGTTAAATGTTTTTGTTTTTGGTTGTCTCTCAGTCGTTGTTAGAACTCTTGATTTAGTAAGTGATCCTAGCTTTACGAAATGTCTCTTTTATTTGTTTCTTTGTTATGTGTCTCGTTCATGTAGCATGTTTCTGCAGATCCTTCATTGAGAAACTAAGAGTGTGCTTTCATTTTCACTACAGCATTATCAAGTGTGTAGTTGGAGACTATAATAGATTTCCGAATTGGTGTTTGTGCAGTAATCAATCCATTTCCTCTCTGTTGAATGTTTTTGTTTTTTGTACTCTATTGTCGTTGTTAGTACTCTTGATTTAGTAAGTTGTCAAATTGTTAGTGTCTGCAGATCCTCCATTGAGTTGCATTTATCTTTTTTTTTTCCTGTGTGTCTTATTCATGTAGGCATTTTTCTGAAATTTAATGCATTTTTGTTCCCAGTTAATCGATTTGCAAATGATGTTCATGTGTTGTTTGAAAGACTTAAATCTCTATGTTAATCGTACATTCATTTGTTCTCTTGTTCATTCCTTTTTCCTTTTGTGATGTTGATTTCTTCCAACAACCAAATGTTTGGACAGATCTTTGAGAAGAACCCAACAAAAATCAAGAACTTCGGAATTTGGCTTAGGTACCAGAGCCGTACAGGTTACCATAACATGTACAAGGAGTACCGTGACACGACTTTGAACGGAGCAGTGGAGCAAATGTACACGGAGATGGCATCAAGACACAGAGTCAGGTTCCCTTGCATCCAGATCATCAAGACAGCCACAGTCCCAGCCAAACTCTGCAAGAGAGAGAGCACGAAGCAGTTTCACAACAGCAAGATCAAGTTCCCTTTGGTCTTCAGGAAGGTTAGACCTCCCACCAGGAAGCTCAAGACCACCTACAAGGCCTCTAAGCCTAACTTGTTCATGTAAAAAAACCTCTCTCAAATCAGGTAATAGACTTTTTGAAGGATCAAATTTGCTGTTTTATTCTCTATTTCTCGAGGAGTTTTTGACTTTTCATTTTGGAGGTAGATTCTTATTATGATACAATTTGTTGTTTTCAATGCTGGATATTCTTGTTTATTTATATTAAGCTTGCAATCGTCAGACTTAAAAAATATTTAATTTTTATCGTTCTTGTTCTTAAGACTGACTACATGACTATAAGAGACTTAAAAAATATTAGAGATTTTGAATTGGTGAAACGCCATTACATGACTATTATTATAATCTATTAAACTCAAAAAAAAACATTGTTTATTAAAATTCGACTGATAATATTACAATAATCTGTAACACTACTCAAAATCGCAGCCACGAGAATTATCATTCACTTGAGAAAACGACGAAGTTGACGCACCATTTGCTCCATAGCTACTTCCTACAGCAACTTCACACAGTTTCTCATAAAGCCCTTCAAACTTCGCCAATAACTGCATCGTCTCTTGGTCGTCCTTCGGATCAACGTTCCACCACGCTTCACTCTCCACCGGCAACTCCGTTTCCGCCACCGTCATTGCTTTCTCTTCCTCTGCATCTACCTTTTCTACAAGATCGTTGAACGTTTTGCAGAGTTCTTCTATCTTCAGTTTATTGTGAGCATCCACAACT